ATCTGCCACCGGATACCCGGACGCGTTTTGGGTAAGTGTCCGGTGGTATCCGGCAGGTATCCGGATACCGGAAACTGCATTTTTTTTGCTGTGAAAGCGATCTAGTCTCATCTGATTCACGCAAAATACCTGGATTATTTACACACAACAAGGGATTCGATTCGAATTGGATACCCAAGCCGGCCGGCTGGCCGCCATTTTTGATCCGGCACCCCCGAGCGCTACCCCCAGGATTTGCCCACGGGCTAGATAAGTTCTCTTACCATCTCCCGTATCCCTGTAAATACTTTCCTTTCACTTATATCAACCCCATTTTTTGTATTATTATCCTTTGTGCTATTACTAGTACTCTATGCCATGTAAATACTTGTATATAAATATTTTGTGTATTACCATTACCATCATTCACCCATCGCCCACCCTCTCTATCGAAATGGACCCCTCCTACTCACCAAACATGGAAATTACATCCCCCCTACTCTCCACATCCATCTTCTCCACCCCGGACCCTATCGAATTCCCCGGGCTACCAAAATCTCATAACTTAAATATTATCCCGCCCAACTTTGGCCTGGATTTTGAAATTATCTCCCCCTCCCGACCAGGCTCCATACCCCCCATTCCCCCTCCCCCCCCCCCCCCCCCCCCCCCCCCCCCCACAGGCCAAAAACAACAAAAGGACAAACAACTCCCCAGCTGAATTACAACTCAGCCCCCAAAAAACCTGCGACCTCCCTACTCCCCCGCAAAATACCCAACCTAACCCCACTCCCGTACTTCTGCTTCTGGCTTTTCACGCAAATTCAACTACCCCACTTAACGAAACTTTCTCTTCTAACAAATTCGCCGTGTGCCTTAAAAAAGCAAAAATCAATTTCAAATACATCAATGCCTGCGGCCGCGGGTTCAAAATCACCTTCCCAGACCAGCTCACTCTAAACCAAGCAATCCGCTCCCCCATCATAGATGGACTTAACATCAACTGGCAGATACCTAAATGGCAGACCGAAATACAGGGTGTCATCTACCTAGACTCTAGGGACACCCCGGATGACATTCAAGAATACATAACGCTAGCTAATCACTCACCCAATCAGCCCCAACCCCAAATCACTAACTTTAAATCAATTAATAACCGCAAAAACACCCAGGGTCGTCCCACCAAACAGACTGTTTTTCTAACGCTAAAGGCCACCACCCTTCCTACCCACATCACTTTTGGGGCCCTTAACTACAAGGACTACCCCCTCCGTAAAAACCCCCCTCAATGTATTTACTGCCACGCCTTTGAACACAAATCATCAGACTGCAAAAAAAAAACCCTCTGCCCTAAATGCGGCTCCGAAAACCACGGCATCCAAGAATGCTCGTGGTTTCCATATTGCGTCAACTGTAACGCGGAAGGTCATACCGCCAACCAAAACACTTGTCCCACTAAACAGAAGTACATACTTAAACTAAACAGAAACCTTAAACAATCAGATCTACCCAAACCTGCCAAAATTCCACTCATGCAGTATTACCCAGACGACCCTGAGGACTCCCCTTTCCCCTATTCGGAACGCTCCCTAAATTCCACCATCAACTCAATCGCCCCCCCCCCCCCCCCCCTCGTCCAGCCACCCCCCCACCCCTAACCAATCTACCCTAGTTAAAAAACGGCAAATCAAAACCAGCCAACCAAGCCGACCTCCGGCTAACAACCAAATCACCACCCAAGCCACCATCCACCACCAAGCCCGACCCCCCCCCCCCCCTACCCAGGCCCCTCCACCCCCCCAAATGCCACCCCCACCCCCCATACCCCCAACCCAGGCCCTTATCCTCCCCCCCACCCCCCTCACCCTCCATCCACCCCCCTCTTCAACCAACAACCCTACCCCCCATCACCTCCGTCCCAACTCCCCCATCAAACCCCACCATCACCCCAACCCCCAACCAACAACCCAATGTCCCCCACTACATCACTAAACACCGTAAGCACTATCTCACCACTAAAATCCAAGAACTTCAAAAAGCTCCCGCTTCCAACGTCACCCCCCAAAAACTCCACTCACACACTAGCAAACTTATAGAATTTCTCATAGCCGCTATTCTCCTCAAATAACCTACCATTAAAAAACTCCATACATTAGCCACTAAATGCAATCTCTACCAGAAATCCTTCGCAACTTTGCAGACTAACTACCTCAAAATCAAACGCTAACACTCCTCGCACACTAACCTAACCCACTAACAAACCCCCTTAACCTAGCCCCCCCCCCCCCCCCCCCCCCTTCTCTCCTAACCTAAAACACAAATGTCCTTTATACAATGGAATTGTAACGGGCTCCGGCCCAACGGTCATGAACTAAAAGCCCTTATAATTAACCAGAAAATACAGCCCGATATCATTGCCCTCCAGGAAACCCTTCTCTCCCCTAGACACTCCTTTACCATCCCTGGCTACCAATTCATTCGTAAAGATAGGCCCAACCCCCAAAACAGACCCGGCCCCCCCCCCACGGGGGGTTGGGCTTTTTTATCACCGAGACCCTTCACTACAAAATCATCTCCATTCCTACTCCCAATCTTGAAACCCTTGCCATCGATACCGCCATCAATAACACCAAGCTCAGAATTATTAATATATATCATACTAAAACCAAACCCTTCAACCAAGAAGACCTTAACATCCTAAGTAATCACCTGTCCACTAATACACTAATACTAGGAGACTTTAACGCCCACCACCCCCTCTGGGGAACTAAAAAATACTCTGATAAATACGGCACACTAATAACTGAATGGCTCAATAATACTAACCTTATTTCACTTAACAACAACCAGCCCACCAGATACCCCACGCACCAAAACCAATCCCCTACGGCAGTTGACATCTCCATCACAACCAACAAACTTTCCAGACTGGTCAACTGGGATGTACACGAAGACACCTGGGGCAGTGACCACGCCCCCATACAAATCTCCTTTAATCACACCCACTTCACTACTAACACTCCCACTCAACCGGACCCCAACAACCCTACTCGTACTATATTTAACTATAAAAAAGCAAACTGGGAACTATTTAACAAACTATGCAACCAGACAGATACAAACCAAATATATAACAATGACATTGACATTTTTAATGATAACTTCACCAACACCCTATATAACATCGCTACCAAAGCCATCCCCATCAGCACATTCACTCATACCCATCCCACAACCCCCTGGTGGACTGCTGACATCCAAAACCTTAGATCAAAAAGAAAAAAAGCATTAAATAAATGCAAACGTGATAAATCCAAAATCCAACAGTACCTGGACCTTAGACACCAAACCCAACAAGCAATCAAATCGGCTAGAAAACAACACTGGGAAAAATTCTGCTCTACACTTAAAATATCTAAAAACAACTCTAGTATTGTTTGGAATAAGCTCAAGGCAATTAAAGGGGTTAGAAAAAAAAACCACAATCCAAATTTTGAAAACATCAAAAATAATAAAGATAAAGCAAATCACCTAGCCAACCATTTCGCAAAAGTCAGCAGTACCTCCAACCACCCTCCCCATCTCCAAAATCGCATTAAACAACAACCCCCCTTTACAAAGCACCCCGACCTCGCCCACCTCCCCCTAAACAAAACTATAAACATCCACGAACTTAAATATGCCCTCCAAACTTAAATATGCCCTCAGTAAACTGTACTGTGGAATTAGTTAACTTCTTTGATAGGCATTTAGAAGTTGGAGTACTAAGTAAGGATAAGAATTTATGGATGAACAACTTCTTTATTACAATAACGAGCGACATTTCGGTGTAAAATAAAAAGAAAAAAATATCACCACTTGCTTCTTGGGGGCCTCCAAAGACACCCTCCTCTTACTCTATATATCACTAATTAGATCTAAAATAGACCACGGATGTGCCATATACGACACCCTAAACCAATCCCTAAGCTAAAAACTAGACTCAATCCAATATCAGGCTCTAAAACTAATAACACGCACTCAACATGGCACCTCATACACTTCACTCCAGGCCTTAACAGGAGAAATGCCACTAAATCTACGTAGGGAACAATTAACTCTAAATTTCTGGGCCGCGTCTCAATCCAACCCCCAAATTCAAAACCAAATAAACAAAAATATCAGCCCCAAAAACCAAGCCATAGCTCGAAAACACCCTCTACTTACTCCAATATCCCAAAGAATAACCAATTACTTAAATGAACACCAAATAAACAATCTTAAACAAAACTGTAAAAAATCAAATATCTTCACCCAAAAACTTAAAACACCCAAAATAGACATAACACTAGCTAGCACAATAAATAAACAAACCGACCAAAACATAGCAAAAACCACCACACTAGCATACATACATGAAAATTGGCCAAATTGGTGTCACATTTACACAGACGGATCCTCAGATCCGATCTCAAAACAAATAGTATTCATTTGGATCCCCGCCCAAGTAGGAATATAGGGCAATGAAAACGCTGATAAAGCAGCTAAACTATCCCTTAAAATCCCAGAAATAAGCTTAAACCTACCCATCTCCAAATCAGAAATTAAAAGTGTCAACAAACAAAAAATC